ATATATATATATATATATATATATAATGCTGCTCAGAATTCGATTTCCCGGAACCCAAATTCGGAAACCAAATTCTGAACATGAACAGTAAACATGTCTACTTGAGTAAATAAATTGGTACAGGTATTATTTAGGTATTTTTAAAGAAAAAATATATTTTAGTCAAAAATTCAAATAATATAATGTTATAATCAATAACTATCTAAGATATTATATACATCTATAAGAATAAATAAAGGACACATTCTTTTCCAATTATTTTTTACCTCCATTTTTAATGAGATAATTTTACCATTTACAACTTTCTTAAAAAATAAACCGTCTCTAAATTTTTATTTTTATGTTTTAATCTTTTAATCTCATTAAGTAATTATAAATTAATTATATTTATATTATAAATAAAAACTTCCTACTAAGCTACTACTCACACAATTGCCTTTTCTTTTTATTCTCTCTTCTCATCTTTTATTATAATGGGCACACAATTACTTCTAAAGTTCCTATATTTTTTTATGAAAAATAAATAAAATTAAAAAATATTTCAACCTCACTAATTATTTATAATAAAGTAATAAATATATCAAACTCATTAATCGACATTTTAATTTATAAACGCTTTATATAATATACTTTTTCTATTATAATTTAAAGGTAACACAAATTTAAAAGTATAAAAATATACTTAAACTCTTTAAATTAATAAAAACATATTATTTTTTATTATATGAAATGTATTTTACATTAAATACACCATACATTGCATAGGTAATTATCATACTTTATTAAAATAATCTCAATAAATATATTACTTTTAATTGTGGTGGTACAATAATTTATAATTTTTTTTAAAAGTAATTAATAATATTATTTTAAAGAATGAGAATATTAATATTTTAAAACATTTTTCAAATACTAAATATTGGAATCAAATTGAAAAAATAAATAAATATTGTTTGTTTTAATATATTCATAGTTATTACAATGAATGAGAACACTTCGGTGGTAAAGTTGACACAAAGTGAAATAAAAAAGAAAAACACAAATACAATAATATATTATAATAGATAGTGAATGATGCGTTTGATATATAAAATTATCTATATATATCATTATTCTACTATGAAATGCACCTTAATAATCCAACTTACAACAAGAGACCAAGTGATTGACATTTTGATTTATCCTTGGTTATAATAAATAGCAGTTTGACTTCAAAACCAGGACAAGATTCAGTTCAGTTTCTTTGATTTTTTGATACTACACTTTTCATTAAATATAGTGTTCCATATTGATAATCAATCTAATAAAAGTCAGTCTTTAAAGTCACCAATGAGTGTTAGGGATTGAAATGAAATTCTTATTTTTATAATTAAAATAATAACACACTAAAAGTGCGTAAAGAAAAATACAAATACATAAGATTCGTAGACTACAAACTTGTTCACATTCTAGAAACAGCTTCATTTTTTATTCATTCTTTAATCTGTATTTATTTTATGAGTTTAACTTTTATACACTCTTAACGTACGCTATAAAAGATACTATATTGTCTAACTACTAAAAATAATGATAGAGAAATTAATTAGAAAGTTAGAGAAACATTAATTATTTTCTAATTTATTCAACAGGTGTTTAAAATGGGAAAGAGAGTTTATTAAAGAATATTTTACTCGTTAATGAATGTTTTATCTAGGTATCCATAACGATTACTCGATTAGCGAATTGAAGACAAAATTAATTAAATAAAAATTAATGTTAAAAAATTTACTCATGGTAGATATTGTTGTTTTAAAATGGAATTCTTTTGTTTACACCAAAATGGAATTATTTTAGATATTGATAAATGAATAATTTTATATTTTTCTACGATATATTCCTATGGATATTTAGAAACATTATCATGTTTTAAAAGAATATTAAAAATGTAATCATGTACTAAACATAATTTTCAATGTACATTTTCAACTAAATACTTAGAATTTATAAAACAACAAATAACTACATCAAAGTTCGTCATGAGTAAAATAGAGGTGGGTTATAAAGAATCCACATCAAAATTCATTATGAGTAAAATAGAGATGGTTATAAAGAATCATTAGGATAAAAATTAATACGACTCAAAAAAGTAACTTTATAACAAATTATTTTAATTTCTATCTCTTTAAAGTTTCAAGTTCAAGTCTTATATTTTAAAAATTTAATATGTAGTTGAAAAAAGAAACTTCACTAAAAGTGGTCACCAATCTCATTCATATTTATGACCTATTTATTTCTATGGGCATATATATTACGAGACAAAATTATTTATTATTTCTATTAATATTTTTTTGATAAAATATTCAGAAGATTAATAAGGAGAGTGATATAACATTATTTTTATTAATAAATAAAAAAATTGTAATTATAAATATTATAATTTACTTATACTTTTGCGATAATAAAAAGTTCTTTTAGACTTTTAGAAGCATATAAGAGCTAGATCCCGGAAAAAAAAAATAATATCATGCTTAAATTTTCTTAAAACAACATAAACATATAAAATTTCTTAAATCACAAATATAAGAATAAGAGAGTGAATGTCTACGGATCAAATAAAAAAGAGTGAGTGTCTAAAAAAGTTAGTAATAGGAAGTATTATTAAAGGGATATAAGTGAATGTCTAGGGATCAAATAAGAACAGTGAACCAAAGATACTTGACAAATCAACAATAACATGAGGAGATAAGGAAGATAGTCCCACCTTATTCTTTTCCATATGCATGAATAAAAGCTTGCATGAGTTTTTGACCATAACAATCAATAACAAGCATTATTATTTAATAAAACACAACAACAACAACAACAGGGAAATCGAACAGACATGAAAAAGAAGTTCAAAAGGCTGACCCAGCTCCTACATGCAAATTAACTAGAACATGAAAAGCAAATGCAACGACTTAACATGTGCTTGAAAGCAGATATATATAGATAATGAACGCACAGGACATTCATATATATATATATCTGTATGAAAGCACTTATTCTTAACATAGACCCGTTCACATGGAATCACGTCGGATGTTCATGTGAGCATAGGGATCAAAGCCGGGAAGAAAATTGGCAGCAACATCAGCAGAGGGTGAAGCATCGTTCCCAAAGAAGCCTTGAGGCGAAGGGTCGAACTCAGACAGGGAAAATCCATGAGGGTAAGGTGGATGCGGGTGTGGGTGTGAGTGAGAGTGTGAGTCACCTGGAACCACCACGCTAGGGGGAACGCGAAGAACAGGTGGTGGAGGTGCAGATGCAGATGCAGATGCAGAAGCGCGTCTCACAGAAGCGGGTTCTCCTTCGCTCTCGCGGTAGCGCTGGAGGTAGACGGCGAGAGGGCGAGCGTAGTCGTCGAAGCCGAGCTTCTCCATCGCCCACAGCACGTCGTCCGCGGTCACCGTCTTCCGCTGCTCCTGCTGGCACCGCTCGTTCGCCTCCGCCGTGATGAAGCTGATGTACTCCGACACGCACTCCTGGATCATCTCCTTCGCGTCGTCTGAGATCTTAGCATGAGCCGGCAGAATCCTCCGCATGATCCTTATCACGTTCGCTATCGGCATGTAGTGGTCTTGCTCTCTCACTCCCGCCATTGCACCTGAAACTCAAACACCAAAACTACCTAATATACAAACATTTTAAGACGTTTTTTTTTTTTTTTACTAATAAAAAATAATATTTTAAAAAATCTTTGACGGTTTTTCTAAAACATTTTTTTTACAGGAAAAACTCTTTCAAAAAAAATAATTTTTGTATAGTCAATTAACACTCTTAACAAAGACAACGAGTTCTTTTGTGAAAACAGCTTAGGTCTAAACAGTTGCATGCAAAAATAAATAACTAAAAAAAATGAAAATAGGTTTGAGTTTCAAGGGTTTAAAACTTAAAAGTGAATTGATAGCATGTTTGTATGTAAACATGCCGTCACGATAAAAACAAGTATTTCTTTTGTCAAAATAGTTTAGGTCTAACAGTTGCATGCAAGAACAAATAGCTAAAAAAATGAAGTCATGTTTGAACATCAAAAGCTCAAAACTTCACCTCTCTAAAAGTGAATTGAGGAGAGAAAAAGAGGGGTCTGGAAGAGGTAGAAGAGGCTATGGTGGGTTTATTGGTGGCACATGATAGAAGAATTTATAGAAGAAGCTACCATTTATCACCTTCAACCACGTAACCAATAGGGTGAAACAATTAATATCTAATATTAAAAAGATCAAAAGTCATTGAAATCTGCCACAAAAACATTTACTTTTCTTGAAAACATCACACATTCATATATATATTTAATGAGAGTTTGAATTTTGTTTTAATGACTCCATTAATACTAATTCATTTTCATTTACATGACCAAATTGCCCATAATATCGTCTATAGTACATTTTCAAACTAAAAGAGTTACTTAAAAAAAAAAAGGCCTCAAGTACATATAATGTATTCTTGTTAAGAGGATATATATAGCATATTGATATATGTACATTAGACTTGAAACATGAAAATAATAAACTATTATCCCCATCTATGATTCGAGGTCCAACCCTACATAAGTTACACATCGATATATGACATAAGAGAATTATTGTTTGTACTAGTTTTTAACTTTAACATATTTGTCTTTGCTAAAATTGTAAGGTTTATTTTCCTTATGTATAAGGTTTACTGCATGAAATTTTTTATTTTCAGCTTTATAAATATTTCTTTTAACGGTTAGATATTTTAAGAATCTTATCACGTTCTTAAATTACATAATAATAAGCAGGGAAATAGAATGAGGTTAAAGGAAAAAGGACAACATTTTAAGGAATCAAACTTGCATTATCAAAATTCATGTCTAGTGATTCAATCAACTAAATTAACTCTGAAAAAAAATGTATACCAAACATTTTAATTTTTTGGATTATCATGTCATGACCATATTTTGTGTGAATAATATTTTTTAATGGATTTCTCATTTAGTAATATTAAATAACTTTATTAATAGATTATTAAATTCAAGTTTACTTGACCTAATAACCTTTCTTATTCATAGATTTTATTTAAGGATGACATTTCAATTAAAAAAATAAAATTAGATGACATATAATTAAAATTATGATTTCAAATTTATAAAATTAATATTACATGTGTGGGGAGTGTTTGCACATTTGCGTGCATATATACATATATTATTTTAAAATTACTAAATTGAGTTATTTTTAATTATGTGTTGCACGGATAACCACTCTAGTATATAAAATGAGGGATTAAGCTAAGTGATTTTAAAAGATTTATTCAATTCTTTATTTTTATCTTTTATTTTCTTTCAATGTAACAGTTGAAGATAAGTTACATATTAAAATTGTTAGATTGAAAAAAAAATTATTTTATGATTATTCTTAAAATAACTTTACATTTATTATTATTATTATTATTATTATTATTATTATTATTATTATTATTATTATATATATATTATGTTTTAATTAACTATCAATTTTCTTTACATTTTATATCGGAGTAAATTTGCTTGAAATAGATGATATAGAAGGATGTTAGTGAAGTCTAATTCTTTAAATACGGCAACTTTACTTCAACAAGAATGTGGATCATATTACTCGTGTACTAGCTTGGTACAGAGTATTTTAACTTTTGATACAACAGGAGATAATTTGGATTGGTGTCATGTCTTACAGCAAGTCAACCAGATTACTGATAAGTTAGCTAATTTTATTTATAATTTATAACTGGAGTTAATTTTTTTTCTTCAGAGAAAGGTATATTTCATTAAACTAAAACTAAAAATTTCAAATATTTCAAAAGAAGCAAATCAGAGCTGTACAATTAATTGAAGGATATGAAAAGTACAAAATAATTACAAAGAAAATGCTTGATAATATTCAAGAATCATTTTAATAATGACTTAATTAAACTCAAATTATCATTATGCCACAGTATATATATTTTTTAATGACAAAGAAGACATGTATATATATTATGAAGGAAAAGGATAAAAGGTACCAGGAATATCCAACTCGTAAAAATTTGTTAGCAAACAACAAAAAGATATTATATCCTTTCTCCCAAAAACTAAGGCAACTCCCCTGCCATACATCCTAAATACCGAGTTGATGTAATTGAAATGTAGATTTGCTATGAATTATAAGTGCCTTAATGCACCATTGAAAAAAAAGGAATAGTTAAAGGGGTTTTTGTAGCATTTGCAACCACAACCAAGAATAAATCAGAATATGTTTCAATGAGTTATTTCCTATCAAATTGTCTACCGTACACCTCTAAAGACACATCGATTCCTATGCATCTACATACACCAAGTTATGACACATTAGACTACTCTCATGATTCCAACTCTGATCTAGATTTGATAGGTCCTGGTATGAAATTGAAGTGTTGAAACGATTCTTGATGTAGTGGTGAGGGGCAATTTAACCAAATTAACCACTGATTTCATATGCTTTCAACCATATAACATGTACAAAAGATATATATGAGAAGTAGACTCAACTTTAGACTCGCAAAAAGACCATAATATCTGTTGCGATTGCAAAATCTTTAGTAAATTCTCTACTGTTGGAATTCTAAAATGCATTAACCTCCTCAAAAACAAAAAATAAAAAATGCACCTTTTTGGTGGCACCAGCAGATTCTAGATATCTGCAAATTTCTGTTCAACTTGACTTAATTCCCATGCCAATTAGTTCTTTCTCCATTTTAATTCCCAGAAGCACCTACCATCAATTCAACTTTCCTTGTTAGCCACTAGATTCCATTTCTGCTTAGAGTTTAAGAAAAGTCTAGGACAAGTCATACAATCCAGCTCGAAATCGATATCGCGTTCCATCCCCAAGCTTCCGAGTTATAGATTTTTTTTTTAAAAAAATTCTTTAAAATGATTCTATATGTAATAATGAATAACATTTTGACAGATTGTGAGAGTTTAATAACTAATCAATAATTAGTTTAAATTTTTACATAAAAATAATTTTTAAAAATATAAAAATTATTATCTTTTGATAAAATATATTTTTTTAAAAATAAATATGTAACAATAGATAACATTAATCGAATAAAAATTCCATCTTTAGTATTATTGTGTGTTTTTTTGACTAATCATCTGTAAGTTTAAATTCTTATAAAATTTTATTTTATTTTTAAATAAAAATAAAAAAAGGATCTTTTTTTATTTATAAAAATAAAAAACAGATAAAGAATATTTTTTTGGAATAAAATAAATGTTTGTAAAGTTATATAACTCTACACAATTAATTAAAAGTATTATTTTTAACAAGTGTTGTAGTGTGTTAATACATTTCTTCATATAACATTGACTTTTAAACTCAACTTTGATTTTAGTGACCATTTTTTTCTTTTTAATAAATTTTTTAATATTTTTTTTCTCAAAATAAAATATTAGTGGTAACTTTATAATAAATATTTTTAAGTTATTTTTGTCATGATTTTGATTGTAATAAATTCTCTATCTATTGACTTTCAAGAAGTCTCTTATCATCACATGATAGACAAACATATTAAAAAATTAGTAATTTTTTAATTTTAAAAAGGAATTTTTTTATAAAAATTTTAAAATAAACACACCTACATTATTACGACATAGAAGTGGTAGTAAAATAGTCATACTTTATTAGTTACTCTTTTTACCTTATAATAAATATTATTTTAAGTTGTTTTATACATATAAAAAATAAAAAATAAAAAAATATAATAATAATTTTACAATGTTAATTTAATAATTAATTTTTTTACTAGAAAATGGGAGATGTTTTTTAGAGGTAAGTTTGTGGAGAGGGAAGCAGTAGCAGTGAGTTTGTGTTGATTGTGGAAGGATGGTGGTGTTGAACAAGAGAAGCATGGTTCTGGTACTTGTATTAGCAATAGCAATAGCAATAAGAGAAACATCATCGGAATCAGAAGAAGAAAGCAGCAGCAGCATCATATCACGATTCCAGCAATACCTGAAAATCAACACTTCCCAACCCAGCCCGCGTTACCAGGAAGCAGCCGAATTCCTGATATCCGAGGGCAAAGCGGTCTCCTTGGAATATGAAATCATGGAGTTGGTGGCAGGAAAGCCTCTGGTCCTCCTCAAATGGGAAGGCACAAACCCTCACCTCCCCTCCATCCTCCTCTACTCCCACACCGACGTCGTTCCATCGGAACCCAACAAGTGGGCCCACCACCCCTTCAGCGCCCACCTCGACCCCACCGGCCGCATCTTCGCCCGCGGCTCCCAGGACATGAAGTGCGTCGGCATGCAGTACCTCGAAGCCATCCGCCGCCTCAGGGCTCACAACTTCCGTCCCCTCCGCACTCTCTACCTGGCCTTCTCCCCCGACGAGGAAATCGGCGGCCACCACGGCGCCGAGAAGTTTGCCCAATCCGAGATCTTCCGACGGATGAATGTCGGCGTTGTGCTCGACGAGGGGCTGGCCTCGCCGGACCAGCATTACCGGGCGTTCTACGCCGAGAGGAGCCCCTGGTGGTTGGTCATCAAGGCCGTTGGAGCTCCCGGCCATGGCTCCAAGCTTTATGATAACTCCGCCATGGAGAATCTCTTGAAGAGCATTGAGAGTATCAGAAGGTTTCGCTCCTCTCAGTTTGACTTGATCAAGGCCGGATTGAAGGCTGAGGGAGATGTTGTTTCTGTTAACATGGCCTTCCTCAAGGCTGGAACTCCTTCTCCAACTGTGAGTCAACAGCATCAATCTTTCTTATAGTCATAGAATATGATAGATTGAAGAATAGAAAAAGCACAAAACTTAGGTGCACTACCATAGCTACACTTGCTGCTAATTTCCCATCAGAGTTAGAGTTTCACCTAGATATATGCCTAAGTATACTCTAATGCTGAATTATTCATTAAATGTAAATGCATATTACGGAAGTGAAAAGCATCAAAGGTACCTATGGTATGGCACCTAAGTTTTGTCTTAGATAATGTAGGTCCCAATAAAAGGAGTATGTTAGAAAGAGTGTTATAAAGTA